GAGCCTCCCAGTGCTGCTCCAGTGCCTCCAGGGACAGCCCAGTGCCTTCCCCAGCTTCCCAGTGCTGCCTCAGTGCCCCTAAAGACAGCCCAGTTCAGCCCAGAGCTCCCCAGTACTATCCCAGTTTCTCACAGAGCTTCCCAGGACCAACCCAGTGCCCCCCAGGAAGAGTCCACGGACATCCGGAGCTTCTCAGAGCCTCCCAAGGACATCCCAATGCACCTCAGAATAAACCCAGTGCCACCCATGGGCATCCCAGTGCCTCACAAAGCTTCCCAGTACTAACCAGTACCTTCCACGGACAGACCGGTGACATCCCAGAGCTTCCCAGCACAACCCCAGCACTCCCCAGTGTCACCCCAGTGCCCTCTGGGGACATCCCAGTGCCTTCCATGGATCACGCAGTGCCTTCCAGAGCTCCCCAGTGTCACCCCAGTGCCCTCTGGGGACATCCCAGTGCCCTCCATGGATCACGCAGTGCCTTCCAGAGCTCCCCAGTATCACCCCAGTGCCCTCTGATGTGACCTCAACGCACCCCAGAGCTTCCCAGAATCACCCCAATCTCCCTTCCAGTGACATCCCAGTGSCTCCCAGAGCTTCCCACTACTGTCGCGAGTGTTTCCCAAAGCCCCCCAGCCCCTGCTGGGGACAYCTGAGGGAGGAGACCGGAGTCAGGGCTGGAGCAGCGGGGTTTATTGGGGCGGGGTGCCCAGGCCGGGTCCGGCCCTAGAGCCCGTAGATGTTGTCGCGGTCCCTGCTGTCCCACGCCACCAGCTCGTCCCGCTGGAACCAGAAGCCGATCTCCCGCTGCGCCGTCTCCACCGAGTCACTGGCGTGCACCACGTTCCTGGGAGGGGACAGGGATGGCGACAGTGCCACGCCGCGAGCTCCCGGCCCCGCTCCCGCCCTACCTGGTGATGTGCACGCTGAGATCGCCCCGGATGGTCCCCACGGCGCCGCTGTCCCCAACCATGGCCCGCGTGCTCCGGACCACGTTGTAGCCCTCCCACACCTGCGGGACAGGGACAGCTGAGCCCCCGCGGCCCCGGCACCCCCGGCACCCCYGCGCTGTCCCCTCACCATGGCCACCACCGGCCCCGAGGTCATGTAGGCGACGAGCGCGGGGTAGAAGGGCTTCTGCCGCAGCTGCTCGTAGTGCTGCTCCACGAGCCTCCGGTCCACCTGCGGCAGCGGCGGTGACAGTGACAACCGGGCAGTGGCCCTCGGCCACACCCGCTCCGGCACCGCCGGGCCAGGTCTGGAGCAGCGCTCCGTGCCGGGATCGGCTACCTGGAGCAGCTTCATGGCCACCAGTTTGAAGCCGCGGCGCTCGAAGCGCTGGATGATGTCCCCGAGCAGCCGCCGCTGCACCGCGTCCGGCTTGGCCACCACCAGCGTCTTCTCCTGCAGCGCCGCGGGGACTGCGCGGGGACCGCGGCTCAGGGTAGGACACRGGACACGGGCAGGACCCCAAACTGTCCCCTCGGCACCACGGACTGTGCTCGGCGCCAGCGGCTACCCGTCCCCATCCCWGTCCCCATCCCATCCCCGGGCCATGTCCCCTGGACAAGCTGTGCCTCTCAGCCCTGATGGGTGCTGGGGACACGTCTATGGCCCGGAAACATCCTTTAAACCAGGGATGTCTCTGCCACCTCCTGCCCGGCCCCGGGTCCTTCCCCTGCCCGGAGGGCTCCTGGTCACAGCCCTCCGTTGGTGGAGCAGAAAATCGAGCGCCGTGGGACGGCAAGGYCCGGCGCCGCTGTCACCCGTGGGACAGCAGGGGCTCACCCGCCCCTGGCCCTGTCACAGCTGCGCCGCGGAGGGGACAGAAACGCCCCAAGGGACAGCGCATCCCGTCCGCTGGAAGGACAGAGGAGACAGGAAGGAGGARAAGGGACAGAGGACACCAAACTGTCGCGCTGCACTGCCAATCCCAGGCTTCGGGGACCCGTCCCGGGCTGCGAGGCCGGGTGGCCGCAGGGCTGGCGGGGACAGAGCCGGACAAAGCGACCCCATGAGCTCACCCGCCTCCCCGGCACTGCTGAGCGGGGCTTTGCCAGGACCCTGCCCTGTCCTCCCAGGCGTCCCCCCAACACAGCCCTGGGGACACGAAATCCCTCGGGACACTCAGGGAGCGCCAGCTCGGGCCGCTGCCCCATCCCGGCACACGGGGCAGGGGACAGCAGCCCCTGGCACCGGCTCACCCCACAGAGGGCTGAAGGAGCCCCGGAGCCGCCACCCGGCCGGGATGGAGGGACAAGGGCGCTGGGGGAGCGGGAGGGGATGGGGCACCGGGCACCATGGGGACAGGATGGGACAGGAGCACTGAGGGGCAGGACAGGCAGAGGGACGGGGACAGGGTGGGGATGGGGACAGGGTCCCCAGGGGTAAGACAGAGGTGAGGAAAGGGTGCCCAGAGACAGGACGGGGCAGGGGCTGAAGGCCCCCAGGGATGGGAGCCGGGTCCTCTGGAGCAGGGGTGGGGACAGGGTGCCCGGGGGCRGGACAGGGACGGGGCCGTGTCTCACCGGAGCCGTAGCAGCGGGGCCCGGGGGGGCTCAGGCCCGGCTGCCCCCGCGGGAGCCTCCGGGCCAGGCAGCGCCCCAGCGAGCCCATGGCGGCCCCGGCGCTCGGACCCGCGCTCGGCCGCTCCGCGGAGGCTTTAAAGGGCCCCGTCCCGGGGACGGCTCAGGCTTCCGTCCCTCCCCTTAAAGCAGCCGCCGGGGCCGCTCCTGCTCGGGCTATCCCGGGACGGAGCATCCTCCCGGTCCAGAGCATCCCAGCACGGCGCGTCCCGACTCCGAACATCCCATCTGGGAGTGCCCAGCCCTGCCAGGGTGGGAGCACAACCGCAGCCATCCCACGGGTGCCAGACCCTGCCGGGAACCAAACCGGCCTCGTGCTTTGTTTGCCCTCGATTTTCCAGGCGCAGAGAGGCTGCGTTAGCCCCTGCCAGGCTGAGATGGGCACAGGGGATCCCCCAGCCCTGGGAAGGGCCAGAGTGGGGAGCAGCCGGGGCAGTGCCCCTCCTGTGGGATGCAGACCTGCCCTGGACACGTAGTGGGTGCTGGGGAAGGGGTGCAAGGCCMTGGGGGCAGAGGAACTGCCCAGGTGGGAGCCCCTCAGGTCACTTCTCCAAGCCCAGGCTGAGAAATCATCCTTTACGGAGCTTCTCATGCATCCCAAACTCCAGAGACTCCTCCTGGGAGAGCAGATTGACAAGTTCATGGAAAAGCCTGGTTGCTTTGAGCCTTTTCCCCAAATTGGTGCTGTTTTGAAGGGCTGAGGAGTATCCTGGATGCACACACGACAAATAACAGCCTGTGAGGGYTGGGATGGATCCCTATCTCCTCCTTTCCTCCCTGCCTGTCCATGGCACAGGGAATGGGGAACCAGAGCCCCTGCCAGAGCCAGGGCTGGGAGCTCTGGGCACCACTGGGTCCCTGGCCCTGGATGAAGTTCAGCTTCCAGCTGGGAATGTGGGATTGCTTCCTGCAGGCACTTCATGATYGATTCAGACAACAGTGTGGAGGGAATGAACAGATCACCACAACATATGACAGAAAATACCCGGGGAAAACCATGAGGAGACAGCAGAGGAAGAAACCACCACCRATCTGCACCCTCCAGGAGCTGCTGGACTTGTTGGGATCCTTGCTGGCTGCTTCTCATTCCTGATCCTGGGAAAAGCTGTGGATCTCAAATCGTGTTCGTTTACAGAATGACCTAGAGGGAAGCTAAGCYGGTCCCCAGTTATTTAAAACAACAAAGTAAGCACTTTATTCCCATTAAGCATGTTGTTTTAGTATCACAATGGAATGATGAGAAAACGTTTAAAAAAAACCAAAAAAAGTCTCTAAATCCCCGCCAACATCGGGGAGGTTTTCAAGGCAATTTAAAAACAAAGGGAGTGACAGAAGTGCCAAACCAGTCCCAACASTCAGGAGACTCCTCCTCCGAGAGCTGGGCAGGGCAGGAAGGTGGAATGACACGAAGGTACGAATGTCTGAAGTGGTCTTTGGCGCTTCTGCCTCGCGTTTGATACGGACATGATCTCTCCAGACACCTCCAGATGCAACAAAGTGCTACGGGAGCAGAGGGAAAGCCCGGGGCCAGGGATTGYCCCGGGCTGGGCGTTAAGACACATCCTGCCGGCTCCAGCTGCGGCCTCGGGGCGGGGAGGGCGAACTCAAAGGAAGCTGTGGTGCTGCGTGCTGAGCCCAGGGCGTGGCACGGGCGGGACCCCGGCCCGCAGCGCCGGCACAGCCCGGGACCGGGAGCGGAGGGGGCGGTGGCAAACCGAACGCGGAGCCCTTCCCTCGGGAATGGCAGCAGTCCAGGGCAGTCACTATAACTTCACAGTCCCGGGGGGCAGGCTGTCGTTGCACAGTCTGTAATAGCGCAGGTCGTTCACCAGCCTGTGCACGTTCTGCGTGAACGAGGGCAGGTCCTGCAAGGGAGAAAACAACTGTGAACGAGGGCAGGTCCTGCAAGGGAGCAGAAAACGACTGCTGAGAGCAGAGTGACAGCGGGGAACAGAGAGGAACCGAGAGGGGCAAACAGCCCGAGGGTGCTCACACATGGGCAGATCCATTCTGACTCAGCCTGAGCCCAGGGAACTCGTGTTTGTGGAGCAGAGCTGTTCCATGCAGGCATCCAGGCTCTGCTCCTGGCTCTGGCTCCTCATCGTGCCGCTGGGCACGACAGGAATGGTCATGGAATCCTAGAATAGTGTGGGCTGGGAAGGACCTTAAAGCTCATCCAATGCCATCCCCTATCATGGACAGGGACACCTTCCACTRTCCCAGGCTGCTCCAAGCCCCATCCAGCCTGGCCTTGGRCACTKCCAGGGATCCARGGGCAGCCACAGCTTCTCCGGGCACCCTGTGCCAGGGCCTSCCCACCCTCCCAGGGAACAATTCCTTCCCAATATCCCATCCATCCCTGCCCTCTGGCAGTGGAAGCCATTCCCTGTGTCCTGTCCCTCCATCCCTTGTCCCCAGTCCCTCTCCAGCTCTCCTGGAGCTCCTTTAGGCCCTGGAAGGGGCTCTGAGCTCTCCTTGGATCCTTCTCTTCTCCAGCTGAGCACCCCCAGCTCTCCCAGCCTGGCTCCAGAGCAGATCAGCACTAATTCCTTGATGCCCTCCTGCCAAGGCTCCTGGGTGTCACACATTCTGTACCAAGGTTTAATGTTCCTGAAGAGCAGTTGCCTTCCAGAGCCAAGCAATTCTCCCAGGGCTCCATTCCTACGCTCACCCTTGGTCTCAAATCCCCATCACCTCCGCCAGGAGAGGAAGCGCTCAGTGGACACCCCTCAATAGATGGAAAGCAGAACCTGCTGCTGTGCCATGCTATCACACCCATCTCCTTCCCACACACGAGGGGTTTGCAGGAATTGTGAGCCTCTGCTGTWGTCCTTACTGTAACCCTCAAACACCTGGCCAGCAGCTGGAATGAGATTCAGGCAAGGACCTGAGCATCCCACTCTGCAAAATGTCAGYCTAACCCAACAGAAACTTCCTCCAGGAAACACATTCCCACACTCCCACAGCATCCTGCAGCCTGAGGGAGGAGATGGCAGCTCTGCTACCTGCAGTGAGAAATCCTTGGCTGGGGATTGGAAGTGCTGGGAACAAAAGGTACTGCCTGGAGCCTGCTGCCTGCTGTGGGGAGGGAGGGACTGTGCATGCCAGGAATCCTGCCCTGCTGCAGCTCCCCTCCTCACCCTGTCCATTTTGAAGTTCCTGCCCAGCACGTTCTTCTGGTTGGAGTCGATGCCATCACAGCTGGCCAGGAACTCGGGCAGGAAGGCGGAGTAGAAGCCGTCGAAGTCCACCGAGGCCATGTTGTAGGTGGCGATGCCGATCTCCTCCTGCAGCAGGTCGTGGGATTTGTGCACCAGCACCTGCAGCAGCACGTTCACAAACTGGAACAGCATCGTGGTCCTGAAGATCTTCTGCACAGGGAGAGGGGCACGGGGTTAGGGGACTTCACTCACCCCACAGAAGGACAAATCCAGCAAGGCAGAGCAGCCATGGCTACGGCCGTGTTTACAAACTCTGGTGAGCACTGAGATGATTTTCTAAACTAAGCCAGATCAAAAATTGCTAAAATAAGCTCAAATAGTATTGGCTTGAAAGGTAACATTGAATTTGGCCACACTTACCTCATGGTTTGGGGCTTCAGAGAGACCTTGGAGCCCCTTACAGTGTCTAAAGAGGCTCCAAGAGAGATGGAGAGGAACTTTGGATAATGGGGCAATGGCTTTCCACAGCCAGAGGGCAGGGATGGATGGGATATTGGGAAAGAATTGTTCCCTGGGAGGGTGGTCAGGCCCTGGCACAGGGTGCCCAGAGAAGCTGTGGCTGCCCCTGGATCCCTGGCAGTGTCCAAGGCCAGGTTGGACATTGGGGCTTGGAGCAGCCTGGGACAGTGGAAGGTGTCCCTGCCATGGCAGGCAGGTCAAACCAATTAAGTCCCTTCTAGCCCAAACCATTCCGTGATTCCATGCTCTGACCCAAGTTTAAGCACTGGCAAATCCCATTCCATCTCAAGTCAGGTGTAGCCCTGCACAATGCTCCAGGGAGCCAGAGAATGTGACCAGGTACCTAAAATTCTGCTCCAGGCACCTGTGAATGTTAAGGGCTGTCCCTCAGTTGTGACCACAGATGAGCAACTGGAAGCTCTGCTTTCCCAGGCTGATCAGATTCCCTGGATYCCAGCTGTCATCCCTCATGGCAGCAGCTAACAGTGGCAGATGAGAGGGCCTGGAGGATGGGTGCAGGAGAGATGGAGACTCACACTGGCAGTGACCTGGGAATGTTGGACACCTGCAGCGGCCCAGGTGGGAATGCTGGAGGGGCTCTGTCCCACTGATGATCACAATTCTTGCTTCCCCAGACAAATCTTGCTGTCCCTGTGTGTTCTCTGCTGTCCCTGTCAGAGTGAACACTTCCAGCCTTTGGCTGCCTTGCAGCTGGAATCCCTCCCGTTCCCAGTATCAGGGAGATGGTGACGCCATTCCAACCACTCCAAGGCTGTGGCACAAACCCCCCCAATCCTGAGCTGGCTTTCTGAGCAGTGTAAAACCTCCCCAGGACAGCTCCCACCTCCTGCCATGCACAGAGAGCTCAGGGTCAGGCAGGACCCACCTTGTGGTAGAGCTTCTGCTTTGTGTTCAGCGTCTCCAGGTAGAAGAGGTTCTGCTTGAACAGGTGAATGTCAGGCTGCAGGAAGGACTGGCCAAATGCCTGCCAAAAAAGCACAGTCAGAGGGGATGGCAAACACCACAAACATCAGCCCTGCCAGGCAAAACAACAGCATTTGCACCCTGGCAGCAGGATAAACCCCTGGGAGCCTCAGTGCAGCAAGCTAGCAAAAGATATGATCATGAATATAAATTCTGCCACTGAAATGGCAAAAATAGTGAAGTATTTTTAATTTTATTACAGGACAGACACTGATTTGGGTGTGTATAACTGTTTTTAAAAGACTGCACAATTCCCAATTGCTGGTGCTTCCTCAAAGATATTTTCTTAATTTTTCCAACCCTAACAAATACTTACACTGTTTTTCAGTTGAGTATAGAATATGAGTTTGTTTTCAAACAAATTTTCTATATTAGAGGTATGTCTGCACACCCTAAAATTGATCTTATTTCTT